TAGTTTTTATTAGGGTCAATATATTTTTTATTTTTTTTCCATTATTATGATAATATTAGTCCCGCACCGGTGCCTCCTCCAAAGTGATAACGTCGAGTGGTATGACGAACGACATACTTGTCAGGTCTGGAATAAGACAGGGGTGTCCCCTCAGCGGCCTACTGTTCATCCTAGCGATTGACCCGGTGGTAAGGGCCCTCCAGGACGGTTCTGAGGAGCACAGAGTGCTCGCCTTCGCGGATGACCTTTGCTTGCTCGAGGAAAGCCCGGAGAACCTGCAGATCAAGATCAACACTGCGGACGTCGAGCTAAGAAGACTGGGACTCAGAATTAACCCCGACAAATGCGCCTCCCTTACCTGTCCGGAAGGCCCCCCGTTGGAGTCCACCAGTCGACGGTTAAGATCAGGGATCACTTTCTCAAGCCATTACAGGAAGGTGAGGCCGCATCATTCCTGGGTGCACAAGTTGGGTTTAATATCGTCCCCCAAATTGCGTCCCTTGAGTAAATAACTGAAATTGAGCTGGCTATTTTACGCAGCAAGCTGGCGCCATGGCAACGTCTTGACGCCCTAAAGATTTTCTTATAGGCAGATTCAGCATAACATGCACTATTGGTCGACAAACCGAAACCGGGTATAACTCGATCCTCTTGTCTCTGTGATTTTGTATGTCATATGTCTACGTGTTTGTTGTTGTTTTTTTGTATTGCGTTGTCGAACCCGACCTTTTCCTCGATAGGCTTTGGTACTCGTACCGCGCCTCTGTGCTGAGCCAGCCTACGGAAGGTGAATAAATTACCCTTAGGTAGAAGGTAAGGTTAAACCTAACCTTTAATGCTAAATCGAGGGAGTGGGGCAGTCCAAGAGAGGACAACAGGGGCAAAGCGCTGGCCGACCTCTCCGCTTCCCTAGGGCTGACCGTGTGCAACCAGGGTCAACCAACGTTCGTCAGGGGGGCTTCGGAGTCGCACATCGACCTGACCTTCGCATCGCGGTCCGCGACGTGTTGGGTCGACGACTGGAAGGTCCTAGACGAAGAGTCCCTGAGCCTGCATAAATACGTAGAGTTCATTGTCAGGACGGCAAGACAGCGAGGGCAGGAGCCTAGCTCTCGCAAAGGGTGGGCCTATCGGAAGCTGGATCAGGGGAAGCTGACCGAGGCTCTGAGACGTGAAGCCCAGCCCTTGGCACCCACGGCAGAAGAAGCGTGCCGGCAGGTAGTCGACTGGCTGACGCGCGCGTGCGACGCGAGCATGCCAAAGTCCGGCAAGGCGAAACGCCGTCCCGTCCTCTGGTGGTCAACGGATATCGCCGAGCAGCGGGCAAGATGTCACAAGGCCAGACGAATCTACACCAGACTGAGGAAGAGGACGGACGACGCTGGGTGCGCGGAGCAACTGTCCTCACAATTGCTGTACGGAGCCCCATTTTGGTTTACCTCCATTACGGCTGAGATATATACCCGACTGAGGAAGAGGACGGACGACGAAGGGTGCGCGGCGCAACTAGCGACCTTCAGGTCCGAGCGTAAGCTCCTTGTAACGATGATACGGGCGGCGAATGAGGAAAACTGGAGGAAGTTGTGCGAGCTCGTCGACAACGACCCGTGGGGTCTACCATATCGTATCGAGGAACGACTCGAACAGGCCCTCGGTGACGTAGTAGACTGGCTGACTGAAGCTGTGTGAGCTCGTTGACAACGACCCGTGGGGTCTCCTGTACCGCATCGTCATGAAAAAGCTAAACAGGAGGAGAACAATTCCAGGTATTGACCTGCCCGGCAGACTGGACAGCATCGTCAGCACCCTCTTTCCCACGAGACCACTGTGAACGAGAGAAGTCATACCGGTCAGACAGGAGGACCTCGACCGGGCACGCTTCTCGCCGAACGACGTTAAAGCGGCAGCAAGAGGACTGCCGAATGGTAAGGCGCCGGGGCCAGACGGAATCCCGAACGAGGTACTGAAGGCCGCGGTCGCGCTTTTTCCACAGTTATTCGCAGCGACATTCAACAGCTGCATGAGGGATGCGTACTACCCGCCGGAATGGAAGACTGCCAATCTCGTGCTACTGCGCAAGCAGAGCAAGCCGTTGGATAGCCCGTCTGCGTACCGCCCACTGTGCATGCTCGATTCCGTGGGGAAGCTATTCGAGAAGATGCTGTCGGGGAGGCTGCGGGAGCACCTCACAAAGACTGGACAGGCGGGCAACCAATTCGGTTTTCGGCCGGGAAAGTCAACTCTTGACGCGATGCATAAGGTGAGTTCCGCAGTTCAAAACGCGAACGGGAGGGGCAGGCCTATAACCTCTTTGTCGGCATGCTAACCCTGGACGTCAAAAATGCGTTCAACAGCGCCCCCTGGGACAGAATCCTCGACGCGCTAGTGCGGAAGAACACCCCGCCATACCTGACAAACGTCATAGGCCAGTACCTGTCGGAAAGGAGGATAGTCGCCCACGCGCCAGACGGGAGCGCCAGATCCGTGGACGTAAGCTGCGGCGTCCCACAAGGATCGGTCCTCGGGCCTGACCTTTGGAACGTCCTATACGACGACCTGCTGGGGATTCAGCTACCACCGGATGTCGAGCTGATAGCATTCGCGGATGACGTGGCGTTGGTGGCCACTGCGAGCGTACCGTGGTTGCTGGAGGAGAGACTGGAGCGGGCCCTCGGCGACGTCACAGACTGGTTGACCGCCAACGGGCTGGAGCTGGCCATCGAGAAGACCGAAGCGGTACTACTCACAAACCGCAACAAACATAACCGAATGACGCTTCGAGGTCCGACAAGTACTTAGTGAGTAAATTTCATTTTAAGGCGCTGACTGCAAACGGGCTGGAGCTGGCCATTGAAAAGTCCGAAGCGATACTGCTGACCAACCGAAACAAGCACAACCAGATGACGGTAGAGTTTGAGGGGCACCGCTTTGAATCGAAGAAAGCTATAAAATATCTGGGAATAACGATTGACCCAAGGATTCACTTTAAAGAACATGCCGAGATAGCAGCGAAGAGAGCGTCGGACACCTGCCGCCAGCTCACCCAGATCCTGCCAAATCTCCGAGGACCCAGGCAGCGGACGAGAAGGGTACTGGCAACGGTGGTTACGCCCCGGCTGCTTTACGGAGCCCCATTCTGGTTTCCTTCCATAACGTCCGAGGCGATGCGGAAGATGGAGGCAGTGTATCGGAGGGTGATGCTTAGGGTCTCCTGCTGCTATCGCACGGTTTCGTACGACGCAGCGGCGGTCGTATCAGGTATGCCACCGCTCGCGTTGCTGGCCGAGGAGCGGCAAAAAACGTTCAGTGGCATCCTGAAAAGCGTCGCCCGGGACCAGTTGTCGAACAGGTGGCAGGCAACTTGGGACAGCTCGGGGAAAGGGAGATGGACCTACCGGCTCATGAGGGAGCTCAAACCGTGGTTGAGGAGGCAACACGGTGAAGTGTCGTACCACCTGAGCCAGGTGCTGACGGGTCATGGTTTCTTCGGTGAGTATCTGAAGCGGTTTGGTAAAACAGATAACGATAGGTGCGCGCTGTGTGGGGCGGCTCCGGACGGCGCGGAACACGCAGTATTCCAGTGCGACGCGTTCCACCAATGGCGCGTCGAAGCCTGCGTTTACTTGGACGTCGACCAGCTTGCGCCAGAAAACCTCACACATATAATGTTGAGGTCAAACTCGGATTGGCAGAGGGTGTCTGCGTTGATNAAACTCGGATTGGCAGAGGGTGTCTGCGTTGATAGGGAGGATCATGGCGGCCAGGGAGCGGGAGGAAAGGTCAAGGCAGCAGGGACCCGGCTGTGCGCGGTGAAGGAACCGGAGTACGAGAGCGGCGGAATGAGATCGGCTCTTGAAAAATGGTCATGCACGAGAATCCAAAGCGGCGGACTCAGGTCGGCTTGCGAAGACCCCCGAGAAATCCAGATAGAAGACGGTTAAGGACGTATAATTTTTTCACTTTTTGTCGGCATGTTGTAAACACCTTTTTCTTGTAAGGACGCCTCAGGGGTATTTTATTTATTTGTTATGTCATTTTGTTCAATAAATGATGTACCTGGGCGGAAGTAATGTCAAACGACAATTCCCGCCCAGTTACGGTTGAAAAAAAAAAAAAAAAAAAAAAAAGGGAAGGTCTATTTCGTGTTTGACAAAGAGGCGAAACACACTCTAACCCATAGATAGTAGCAGGTATCTACGCAAACTACCCGTAGCGCAATCTACGATAAAAATATGTGAGGTGGTGGCACACCTAAAAAGCGGAGTCCCTCGGCCCAGAGTCGGGCCCATACTCCGCCCGCCAAACGTGGTGCAATAAACGATAAACATACGGCGCAATACATTAAACACAAAACACGCCGTGCGAGCACCGACCGGTGTGTGCGACATGTGGCGATGAGCAGCTCCGACTCCAAGCATGCGCCCAGTCCGCCTCCCCACCTGTCGGCCACCAGTGCTGCCAGACGCGCCGCTGAGAGATGGGCAACGAACAGGAGAAGCCCGGTCACCTGTGCCCAGCATACCGGCTCGAGCCAGATCGCCGGTCCATCGACCCGCAGAGACGCGAACCGGGACTCACCTTCAAGGCTGCCGATCCCGATACCTCCATCCGGGACTCCGAACGCGGACGCCACACCCAGGACTCTGAACCTTACCACTCCATCCGGGACCCCGAACCCCGCCACCACTACTTCGCCTGCAGCTGGCAGACAGCCCGTCCTCTCGGACCTCGGGCTCTGGTTCTTCTTCCCGGCGCCTCAAACTCTGAGATGCCCGGTCGAAGTATGCTCAGCTCAATTCCGAGCCGAAGCTTGGACGGCGGCGAAGAAGTCGGTGACCCGTCATGTGAAGAGCATGCATGACATCAGCGTAGCAGTTAGCGTCTACTGCTCTGGCTGCAACACAAAGCTGGGGACGAGGCCGGGCTCGCACAAGTGAACGGTGGCTATTGCAAATGACGTGGTGATAACGGATAGGTTTGCATGCCCTATCAACGGATGTGAAAAATCGTACCCGTCGAAGCAAGGCCTGGCAAACCACGTCAGGAACCATCAGCATCAAGACGCCGTCAACGCAGCAACAGTGCCGATGCCTCGCCCAGCCACGAGACAGCAACGACGCATAAACCCAGAGCCCGCACTGCGACATGATCCCTATACGTCAAGCCACCAATACAGGCGAGCAAAACGACGAAAGGCAGCACGAGCCACGGATACCGGGACACGATGACCCGGACACAGGCGGCTCAAACGCAGCGGGAGCACCAAGGATACCGGCCTCAACCAGCCGGACACAGGCGGTCCTCCCCTGTCGCTGTCCACCGGAACGACGGCAATAACGACGCCACCCCACAAACATCCTCCCCACTTCGATACGAAGATCGCCACGTCCTCACACAACCATTCCGCAACCAACAAAGATTCCTACATCAGAGATAGGAGGTAGCCCCGTCCTCAGCCACGACGATGCCTCGGTTAGGACGGCCTCCTCACCTGAAGGTATTTCACAGTCCTTCGAAATCGAGACGGGTGTAGGGAGTGTAGCAGCGTCTGACGACGGTGACGATTGTGACGATGAGAATTGCTCCGAGGAGGGGATCATCCTTGACCAGGACGACACCACCCCAATTCATGTGTTCCTCCCACGACTCCACGCATTAGCCAGAGCTCCTGCCACAGAGGACAACTGGCAACAGTTCGTGACGACCATGGATGAGGTAACGTCTGTTGCTGCTAGCACGGCCAAGATACCAGTCCGACCTGAGGGTGGGCCGAGCAAGCGGAAAAGCGTCGACCCCGATGACGCCCAGGGTATACAAACTCTATACCGCAGGAACCGATGCAGCGTGGTTCGGACGATTCTATCTGGCGCAGGCGTCTCGTGTGGCGTAGGAATGCGCGAGGCCACGGACCACTTCACCGCAGTCTGGTCTCCATCCACTTGTGACGTATCGGTCTTCCCCCACACGGAAGGACGCACACCCGTCCCGACCGGACCCTTCTCCGCCCACGTTGTCGCAAAACGCCTGAAAAAATTCGAAAACACGGCTCCGGGCGACGACGGCCTCACCTATCACCACTGGAGGCGTGCAGCCTCCTGTCCGAAGTGATCAACATCTGTGTCAAGCACCGTCGTGTCCCCCCGGCGTGGAAAAAATCGGTGACAGTCCTAATGTTTAAAAAAGGCAACCAGAGCGACCTATTCAATTTGAGGCCGATATCCCTGTGCCGCACCATTTACAAACTATACGACGGGTGCATTGCCAGCCGTCTAACTGAATTGCTCGTGAGCAACTCCGCACTAAGCCCGTGTCAGAAGGGATTCCTCCATTGCATTTAAGCACGTCCACACGCTGAACCGAGAGCTGGAAAAGGCAAGGACCGGCCGCTCTGACAAGTATGTGGCGTGGCTCGACGTGTCTAATGCGTTTGGGGCCATCCCCCATTTGGCGTTGGAGACAGCCATCGAGAGCTGTGGAGCTGGCGAGGGGCTGCTCCACATTGTCCGGGACCTGTACAGTGGCGCCACTTCCTCTGTTATCGTGGCCGAGGGGAAGACCCCTGACATCCCTGTCTTGTCCGGCATTTGTCAGGGATGCTCTTTGAGCGGACTCCTATTCATAATGACGATCGACCCGGTTGTATCTGCGCTACGGGGGCTGGATACCGACCACAAGGTCCTAGCTTTCGCCGATGACATATGCCTCCCCGCCGACAGTGCCCCGTCTCTCCAGTCGAAGATCGACGAAGCGATAGTAGGGCTGGAGCGCCTCGGCCTCAAAATCAATGCCAGCAAGTGCGCCTCTCTCCACCTCTCTGAACGACCACCCGTTGGCGCACGAGATAGCGTCTTCACAATCCTAGGGGCCCAGATGAAGCCACTGGCTGAAGGTGACGCGACCGTGTTCCTCGGCGCTCAAGTGGGTTTCCACGTGATCCCCCACAAGTCCACGCTCGCAGACATCACCGAGCTGGGCCTTAAAATCGCCAGGAGCAAGCTCGCTCCGTGTCAAAGACTTGACGCGCTCAAAACCTTGTTCTTCCCCTCTGCGGTCCACTTCCAGCACATGGGAACATTCTCGAAAACCGACTTAAAGACCATCGACGATATCCTGCGACCCGAAATCAAAGCCACTCTCAACCTCCCACAGGAAGCTTCGAATGAGTTCATTTACGGCTCCACTCTGCGCGGCTGCTGCAGGATCACGAGGCTGGCCTAGGACTCCGACATTGCGATCGTCGATAGCGCGTTATAGCTACTCACGTCCCCTGATGGACGGGTCACGATAGAAGCAGTTGGCCATGTGAGGGACGTCACCAGCTGGAGGATTGGCCGAGCTCCTTCCAACTCTGAGGTCGGTAGCTATCTATTTGGCAACAACGAGGGACCATTCCGCGAGAACCGCGGCAGTGGGGTTGCCAGTGTCTGGTGCCGTGCACGAAGCGCCTCTTTGAGACTGGCTTCGTCTTGGTCCCTTGATGGCCCCCCGTCCATCACTCACGCGGGAACTACGATGCGTGCCAAACAGAGAAGGGAGGTCATGTTGACGCCGCGTGACGACTTCCGCATCGTGAGAGCCATGGAATGTGTTGCTGCTTACGCCGTGTCTAGCCATTTCCTCAGGGCTGGTGAATTTCGCAGATTTGCAGATTGGAGGTTTGTTCACCGAGCAAGGCTGAACCTAGTGCCGCTGAATGGATCCTCATCTTGGAGGACTGGTGACCGCCGATGTCGACGATGTGGGAACAATAAAGTCTCGCCCATGTCGTCAAACATTGTATGCGGTATACCAGTCTCTATATGGACAGGCACAACTCCCTCGTGTCTCGGTTGAAAAAGGCAGCTGCTGGGAAATTTGAGGTCGTATCAGAGAACCAGGCGCTTGGCGCTCAACGCCTCAGGAATGATCTTATCCTCAGAAGGGGCACCACTAGTTTGATCATCGACGCTACGGTACCCTTTGATAACAGGATGAAGGCTTTTGAGGGCGCTGTGGCTGAGAAAAAGGCCAAATTCGAGGAACTCAGGAATGAGATCGCCATTGACCACCCCGGGGAGGTCACAGTCTTCCCGTTCATTGTTTGCTCCTTGGGTTCCAGGGATCCAGCCAACGACGAGCTGGTGAAGCAGCAGTGCAGCAGAGCAAATGCCAAGCTCATGTGGAAATTATGCGTCAGTGAAGTCATTGGATACTGCAGGGATGTCTTCACCGAACACATAACCGGAGTTCGAGCGAAGCTTGGCTGAGCCGGGATCACACGCCTGCCCAATTACGATCGTTATACTTTGTTTTACTGTTTGTAATATCTCTTCATAACACCTGTAAAATACCTGAGTTACTTGTAACCCCCCCCCCCCCATGTTACTCTTCCACCCCATCAATGTAATCTCCATACATATTTTACAATAAACATCTGTTCTTATCAGCTTAACATCTGATACACCTTTCATTAAAAAGTTCAAATGTTAAACTAATATTTTCAAAATTGGTGGAGATTTTGGGGCTTGCTCCTGCTCCACCACGGGTTGACCCGGTATTGCAGTACCACCGGGAACGGCCCACATATCAAACCACAACATTCATACTTAAGAGTTGATTTATCTTCAGATTTTTAAATTTGAAGTTTTTTTTTGGTGGAAATTTTCGAAATTTTTTGAATTTTGAAATTTTGGATTTTTGGAAACTGGATATTTTTAGATTTCGGATGTATGAATTTAGGCTTTAAATTATCGGAATCATAGATATCCGAATGGTTCAAATTGAAGGATTTTTAAATATTCAAAGTTAAAATTCTCGAATTCTCGTGATTTTAGAAACACGAAATAGTTAATGGTTTTCTTTGGGAGATTCTACCCACCTACACTAGGCTTTTATCAACTCGAGTATTGTAGTTATATGCTACTTTAGAACATTTTCGAATAGAAAAAAAAAGTATTGTTTTATTATATTGATGAGTGGTGACCGCAGTCTACAACTAGAGCTATTTTATTATATCTATGCAGAACGTTTCTTATTGTTTGATAAAGTAGTAGAATACAACAATTAATATACATTTTTTTTTAATATAAGAAATTAAGAACATGGCAATTTACTGTTTAAAGTATATATGAGCAGAATAGTTGAACAACATTTATGGCGTTAGCACTACACCCCCTCATAAAAACTAGAAATGCATATATCTCAATAAATTAAAGCCCAAATTTTTCTGAAGTATGTCACTTTAACGTCAATGTGGGGTATTTTTTCAAATTTGATATTTGTGGGTTTTTGTTATATCAATATAATCAGATATTTTATACCTACTTCTACCTCAGAAAATTGGCAAAATAAATAATATCGCAAACTAGGGGTAAGAGAAGAATCAAGACTCTCTGCATAATTAACCAACCAAAAACTTTACTTTCAGAAGAAAATTTCAAAGTAAAGGTTGGTATAATTATTAATATTTAATTAACAATTTAATATTTCATTAAAAATAATTAATATTATTACATATTAAACATTTCATTAAATTTGATGAAAATGATTTCCAATTTCGGGTGATAAACTACCTATTAAATGATGCACTTGACCCTGAATTTTTAAAAGTGGGCATGAAGTTCCCATTAGCTATTTCGTTTGCTCCATACGATGTCATTTGAAACAGAGTATTATACCGTCTAGAATTATCAAAGAAATGTTTTGATAGAGGGTGAGAATTATCAATTAAACTTTTAATTAATTTTGTAAGATCCTCAAATTGTTGTAAAACAACTTAACCGTCAGCGCAGCAAAGTCCATTGGTTTCATCTTTCCATTTTTTTGTATGGCACTTAGGACATAATATCGTCATTGGTTCTATTTGAAGCGCTTTAATATTTAATTAATCAATCTCGGATTGATAATTAAAAACTGATTTCATACTCAAAGCGTTACGTTGCTCCTGTGCAAGTGTTTGAGAACGTTCTGTTGTGTTATACATTCTGTTATACATTCGAGTAGCATTGGCAGTTCTTCTGCCAATGTATGCTCTTGGTGCTCTTGGCATGATGATGATAGCCACTTACCCAAAATTTAAATCATAAGAATAATCAAAAAGTAAGCACAAATTATGCTCGTAATTGGCGTACTCGTAATTCACGAAAAATAATAACTCAAATCAACAAACACGCCCGATTAACCAATAGCAACTATTATTATTTTAATCTGCAACAACAACTTTTTATTATTTAGTTTATTTTTTTCTATACAGATTGCGCCACTGTTGTATTTTTGACATCCATATTTCCTACTTTCTGGTGGATTTTTCTAAACAAAAGTGATTATTATATACATACTGTTTGTATTCGTTTTGAGGTGCTACATAAGACATAGTATGGAAACAAACAAATATACTTCACTGCCCCACCTATTATTTTAATTTTTTTTTAAACACTTGTTTTTCATGGTTAAAATTATGATACAAAAATTGCTTTTTCGAAACTATTATTTTTAGAAGTTGTAGCTATTTCGAATTTACTTTTGTAATTAGGTTATACTGAAGACTAAAAAGCTGAGCTACTAAAGAGTTACCAAAAAAAGTATAAACACAGTTTTTTTGTATAGTTATTTAAAGTTCAAATTTCTATGAAATTACATATAACCAAGAATAACTATTTTAGTTATTTTGTTGTAATTAAAAAATATTATTCGTGGGTAGGTACTTGAAACTACTAAAAATTTTTCTTATATTCAAATATGATGATTTACATTTAATAATAATTCAACTTATCGACTATCGTATAGGTTAGGTTCGTATAATAAAAATATAAAAATAATATAAAATATCCTATTCGGAAAAACTGTTTCCGCTCAGTATTATTTTTTCGTCCATGGGTGTACTTGTAAATTGTAACCTTCTGTGCAGTAGAGTGACACACAATTACCCGTTTTTTATTTTGTTAACAATGATACCCTGATTGACAACTACTATGAATTATATAATTTTTTTTAACAACAATTACATATATATTTTTTGTGTGTGTTAGGCACTAAATTTTCAACAATACCGCAGCGATTATACCATCACGGATTTGCTTACTCTCTTCCTCTCGCCAGGTGGCTTGAGAACAACAGACTTTAGGATCTCAGTGGTTATTGGGATCCTCCCAGACAATTCCTCAACTTTCGCTGTCGAGGATTTGCTTACTCTCTTTCTATTGCCAGGTGGCTTGAGAACAACAGACTTTAGGATCTCTGTGGTTATTGGGATCCTTCCCTACACTTTCTCAACTTTCGCTGTCGAGGAAGAGCTTGATTTGTCTGAATCTGATTTTTTCGGAGTATTCTGAGACAACGGCGCCGGGGGTGCGGGTGGCAGTGGTTGACAAAATACACTAGTCGACGGGGTTGCAGGTGGCGATGGAGGAAAAACTGCTCCACTCGGCCCGGGTTTTGCCATTGGTGGCATATCATAATGAGATGGAGCTGCAGCGAATAAAGCTGGTTCGCCGTAACAGCGGTTATCGGGAGGAAACATTCCAGCGGACCCGAAGGATTGTGGTCTAGCCCACTCCATCGAACGATGTGAATAGTTCATACCGATAATGTGTGATGTGTTTTTCATTACATCTCCTGCACACATACGTCATATCGTACACATAAAAAAAAATTGTTAAGTAAGAACTATACAATTGATTCATGAGTATACATCAAAATAACATAGACAATATATATTATACTTTCTAGGGACCTAGGGTTACAATCCTAGTCTTAATTTCACTACATTCGTGCATCGGCTTTTCCAGTCTAGTCGATAATAAATCTTGCACGGTGGATAGGGACAATTCACTCTCGGTCTGAGTGTGTGCAGATTGTGTCAACTTCGATAACATAAGATCTTCAAGTTGACGCAACTGCAGAATGCGAAATAAAATAATTCTTTACTTAG